GTGAATTTGCATTCACTGTTGGCAGAAAATTTACCCTACTGTCTGGGCCCGTTTAATTTGAGTGGGATGACGGATACCACTCATGGATAAGCCAGGATCCACAAAGTTGACAGTAATTTACCCTACTGTCAGGGTCCCGTTTAATTTGAGTGGGAAGACAGGTACCACTCGTGGATAAGCCAGGATCCACAAAGTTGACAGTAATTTACCCTACTGTCAGGGTCCCGTTTAATTTGAGTGGGATGCGGGTACCACTCGTGGATAAGCCAGGATCCACAATGTAAATAATGTTTATTTATTATAAAAGATAAGATAGGAATATGTATTAGAAAAAAGGGGAGGGGGGGGGTGATTAAGGAGTAAAGAGGAAGAAGAATTAGTTTTTGTAATTTGTAATTTATTTATTTTTTTGTTTTGTTTTCTCTTTTTTTTAATTTATATTATTGGTAATAAGAGATTCTTGTGTTAAAATAATGTTAATATCATATTGATCAAGGAGCTTCCTAAGTATAGTTATTTTTGAAAGTAGGCCAGGAATGTTGTAGGAGTAGATTGTTAGATTTTTGGAAATTGACATAATATAAATTTTAAAGTAAATTGTAAGATAAATTTGAATTTTGAAATAGAAAAAAATGGGGAAAAAATAAGCTAACGATACTTGGAAAATTGAAAAAGCAAAAAGCAGACAAGAGAAATGATGAATAAGAAAATATCCATGAAATTAAGTTTTAAGAGAGGATTAAAGTTAAATTGTTTAAGAAAGAAGTTGTAATTATATTAAATGTTGATTTATATTATTTTGTTTAAATTAAGTTAATAAGATTAATATATAGAAAAAAATAAATTGTTAAAGGAAATAAATAATTGAAATAAAAGATAAATAAATGATTTATAATGGTACTTGATAAACTTTATAGTAGCTTAGGTAAAGAATTGAAGAAGATAAGAAAGAATTAAGTTATGATGAATTGATTGAGATAAATTAGTAAATAAAGAAGATAATTTATTTCTTTGAATCTAGAAAAAATAAAAAATTTAATGAATAAAAGTAATAACTTGACAGAGATATATTATGGGTTATGTATAATCATCAGCAATTAAAAAAAGAGTCTAATTACTCTCCCAAAACATCTACTATGCATTTGAAAGAATCTACTAGAGTTTTGATTCAGAAGAGTAGAAGTCATGCTTTTCATGTCATAAAAAATGTATGTAGTCGCAAAGTAAATATTTAAGGAATATAGTGTGCTTGAAAATGAAATTGTGAGTGATAGAAATATTTGTAGAATTGATAGATATCTATAAAATATAAAAGATTAAATAAAAAATAAATAGGCCTGGGAGTTCAAATAAAGATATGGTATCCATTATTTCTCGGAGGTGGCGATTTAACATCAGCCATATTCCCACAGACGAAAAATATAAAAAAATTCATTTTTAATATCTATAATCAAAATTTTATCATAAAATTTTATAATTCGTAGAAATTAGAACAAATTTTGATTATATTGAAGAAACTAAGTAAATGTCAATATACTGAACTTATCATTCATTTCACATAATGAATATCTTTCATGATAATTTTAAAAATCGAAAAGGTTTATCTTATAGAATATAATTTAATTATGTCCAATTTATAGTATCATCATATCATATTATACACTACCCCTTACATCCCACAATTAAGTGGGCACTCCACCACCCCATAGAGGGCATCTCCAGTGCAGTGAATTTGCATTCACTGTTTGGCAGAAAATTTACCCTACTGTCTGGGCCCTGTTTAATTTGAGTGGGATGACAGGTACCACTCGTGGATAAGCCAGGATCCACAAAGTTGACAGTAATTTACCCTACTGTCAGGGTCCCGTTTAATTTGAGTGGGATGACAGGTACCACTCGTGGATAAGCCAGGATCCACATTGTAAATAATGTTTATTTATCATAAAAGATAAGATAGGAATATGTATTAGAAAAAAGGGGAGGGGGAGGTGATTAAGGAGTAAAGAGGAAGAAGAATTAGTTTTTGTGATTTGTGATTTGTAATTTTTTTTTTTTTTTTTGTTTTCTCTTTTTTTTTTTTATATTATTGGTAATAAGAGATTCTTGTGTTAAAATAATGTTAATATCATATTGATCAAGGAGTTTCCTAAGTATAGTTGTTTTAGAAAGTAGGCCAGGAATGTTGTAGGAGTAGATTGTTAGATTTTTGAAAATTGACATAATATAAATTTTAAAGTAAATTGTAAGATAAATTTGAATTTTGAAATAGAAAAAAAATGGGGAAAAAATAAGCAGACGATACTTGGAAAATTGAAAAAGCAAAAAGCAGACAAGAGAAATGATGAATAATAAAATATCCATGAAATTGAGTTTTATGAGAGGATTAAAGTTAAATTTTGTTTAAGAAAGAAGTTGTAATTATATTAAATGTTGATTTATATTATTTTGTTTAAATTAAGTTAATTAGATTAATATATAGAAAAAATAAATTGTTAAAGGAAATAAATAATTGAAATAAAAGATAAATAAATGATTTATAATGGTACTTGCTAAACTTTATAGTAGCTTAGGTAAAGAATTGGAGAAGATAAGAAAGAATTAAGTTATGATGAATTGATTGAGATAAATTAGTAAATAAAGAAGAGAATTTATTTCTTTGAGTCTAGAAAAAATAAAAAAATTAATGAATAAAAGTAATAACTTGACAGAGATATATTATGTATAATCCTCAGCAATTAAAAAAGAGTCTCATTACTCTCCCAAACATCTTCCACGCATTTGAAAGAATTTACTAGAGTTTTGATTCAGAAGAGTAGAAGTCAGGCTTTTCATGTCATAAAAAATGTATATAGTCGCAAAGTAAATATTTAAGGAATATAGTGTGCTTGAAAATGAAATTGTGAGTGATAGAAGTATTTGTAGAATTGATAGATATCATTATTTCTTGGAGGTGGCGATTTAACATCAGCCATTTTCCCGCAGACGAAAAAAGTCCTTTTCAAAAAAAATATTTTTATTTAAAGCAAACATATTATGCCGATATAACTAAACTGAGAATTGACAGGTAAAAACTGAGAATCTGTATCATATCATATCATATTATACACTGGGGAGACATCCCACAATTAAGGCTGCTTTCATAGTGGAGACGGATCCGATTTTTACATCCGTTCCGTCAAAAGTCAATCTCATTAAAAATGATATATACGTTCATAGTGCGTCCGTTCCGATACCTTCCGTCTTGAAAACGGATCCGGCAAATTTTGAAGTCAAAACATTTTGACTTTTTGATCCGGAAAATTTTATAAAGCGTTATAACGTTACTTATAATTTTTTTATAGTTATAAATTATGGATAAATCTAGGTTTACAATTTGGTGAATCAGGTATTAAAACTTTATAAATATAACATAGAATTTTTTAAATAGTTAGGTGATGAGTTAAATTTTACTCTTCCATTTGTATTCTCTATTTATAACATACCTTGTTAAAAAACTAAGCTTATTTATCATAACTAAATAGAATTTTATTTTAATTCTAATATTCAAACATCATAATACATATATACATTAAACTAATAGAATTTTTTGAATTAATTATAATAGCAATTTATCATAACTATTCCATTTATCTTCTCTTTTACTCTACCTTGTTAAAAATAACTAAATATAATTTTTTATTTCTAATAATTTAGCTTGTTCATGTTAAAAATGAAAATTAATGTAGATTTAATTGAAGCTGTAAGAGGATCTAAATTTATATATGATAAATTTGATGAAAGTTACAAGGATTCACACAAAAAATCAGAATTTTGGATAAATTTAGACCTACAATTTGGTCAGGTATTAAAACTTTATAAATATAACATAAATTTTTTTGAATATATTTTATTAATTAAATTGAACACTTTCAATAATTATATATATATTTAGAATTGATCAAACAATATGATCATTCATTACCTCTGTTTTATATTTTTTAGGTGATGAGTTAAATTTATTGTATTAATATATCTCATCTAAGTATTAAGATAAAAAGATTAAGCTTACTATTTAATTCTTAAATTTGGTATTACAATGTTAATCAATATCTTTGAAAAATTATTTAGGAGCAAACTTAATTTTTTAAATTAAATTAAATACTATCAATAATTGAGCAAACAATATGATCATTCATTACCTCTGTTTTATATTTTTAGGTGATTTTGCTAAATTTATAGATGAAGAATTGTCATCTTTACCACAGGATCACAAAGATAAAGTGAAAATGAACATTATTCAAATGATTTTTTTATATAAAAGTCAGTTAAAAAAATAAATTATATATTTTTTAATATTTATATTTTTAAATAAATATATTATAATTTTTTTATTACAAAATAATAAATATTTGCTTTGTGCTTTTTAAACTTAGCCTGACCTATAATTATATCATTTTAAGTACCATATCAGGAAAGGTCTGATAAAAATAAATTTGATTAGTCAAGGCTCACTAAGTAGGCAAGATATTTACACTCAGGATCCTTTTCTTATATAAGCTTCTTTAAAAAAATGTCACATTCAAAAATCAGTAGTAATACAGACCTCAGTATCAATTTCTAATAAATCTTATTACCCATTCACCAAGTATTTAAATTTAATAAAATAGCTGATAATATTTATTTACATGTATAAATTTTTTTTAAGAATATATTAAACAAAAACATGGGAAATTGGTACAAAATAATTATTTTATGAACAAGTTCTTGTATTTTTATAAAAAGAAAATATATACCAAAAAAATATAAAGAAATTTAATACATATAAAATCAAAATATTGAAAAAATAAATATTAATTTAATATATTAGTTTGCCAGGGCAAATGCCTATTATTAAAATAATTGCTAAATAAGTTTCTTATATTTTTATTTTTATCAGAACTATTTTTAATACTCTGTTGGTTCCATAAAGGATAATTTGAACCAACAAGATCAAAATTTATTATATTTAAATTTTCTTTCATTTTGGCTTCCATAAGTGCCAACATCTATAACCATAAATTTGCCATTATGATCCACCAATGCTTGAAGGATTATTGAAAATCCATGCTTGTAATTATAAAATTGGGTTCCAGAATATGAAGACTTTTTTGTTTTACAATGTTTCCCATCAATGGCACCTTATAAAATATTAAAATAATAATATAGTATGAAATAATAAAATAAAAAATATAATTATCTTTTGTTTGATATAAATAAAATTTAAACCTATACAGTTTGGGAAGTTCCACCTTTCATCAAAGCCCTTAGCAACTTCCTCAAACATCTCCAATGTTGGGACCTTCATATGGATGGGTTGAATAATATCCCATATAGCTTTTGTATTTTCTCCTATTATTAGTTTTATAGTTGATACCCCAAGTTTATGAGAATATGACAAGGTGACATATGAATTCCCAGTTGCTAGGTATCTAGATCAAATGAAGTATCAAGAAATTAGCATAAAAATGATTTTTAAATGCCTAATTATTATAATTAACTCATTATTAAATGTTATATTAATTATTGTAAATATTCATTCTTATTATATGTAATATTAGGGTTATATCTCAATATTAATTATAAAATTAATTTAATATATATATATATAATAAACTAATTTTAATAAATTTATATAGTTTTCTTTTTTGTAATTTTATTTTTAATAAGATCTATTTTTTAAAGTGAAAATACTATATATAAAAATATACTCACTTTTTTCATACGCATGTAATTATAAAACTTGAGGTCATCTATAAGTAATTTTGGCAGCAAAGTAAAATATGCTCCCTCCTTCCTCCTTTTCGAATTAACTATATTTTTTTCTTTCTTGAATAAGAGATCATATATCATATATAATTTAAATAAAGAATATTGGTTCATTTTAAAAAATAAAATAATGTCTAATCTGTTTTAAGTTGAAACGTTAAAAAAAAATCACTATGAAAGCCTTGTCGGACGCCGTCAAATCAGATGTTTTGACGTGAAATCGGATCCGTCTCCACCAACGACATATAATAATACCTAGACTGACGATTCATTCATTAAAAGTGTACATCAATTCAAATCAGCTAGAGACGCCATCTTGGTTACTGTTATAAATATTAAAATTTTAAACGAGAGCCTAATTTTATATTATATCTGATGCAAACTTTATTAAAGAATTGCCTGATCATCGAGATAATAAGAAAGTAAGTTATCAATTTAATATTAGTTTTTAACATGAAAATAATTATTATAAAGGTTACCAAAATGGCGGGTCCAGCTGATTTGCTTTTAACGACGCTTAAAAATGCATTTTAATGAATGAATCGTCAGTCTAGGTATTATTATATGTCATTGGTCTCCACTATGAAAGCAGCCTAAGTGGGCATATAAACAAGATTCACATATATGTATTTCTATATAAAACTATATATCAATAATAATTGACAGTCCATCACTTCTTCAACGTCATCACGATACTTTACACGTTTATGGGCAAGCCGCACGTACTTGTATGCACAATAGTCCGAGGATTATCGTTAAAACGTATGTGGGCTGATTAAGAGGGAAAGGGCCAAATAAGACAGCCCACACCCATACCTACTGTCCTATTTGTATCTGATTATAAATGGATAGGGGAAGGCTAGTTTAAGTTAATGTTTATTTAAGAAAATATAATTATTAAATAAGAGAAAAAAAACCTGTACTCTTGAGATAGTCGAGGGGGGAGGGCTGTACTCTTGAGGTAGTTGAGGGGGAGGAAGGGTTAAGTGACGCATAGGGGATTTCATCTTAGGTACCTAGATTTTACCTTAAAGAAGCTTTTTAATAGATTTTTTATTGTTATTCAGTCCAGTGAACTGTTTCCAGTTTATGTTCAGGTCAGCAACATCTTTCAATACTCGGTGAAACCATAACGTCTTGTATCTACTGTAAGACTTACCTTTGCAGGCAAAGAGCCAAGTTAAAACATCGTGAACCAAATTACAGTTGGGATGTCTCAGAATGTGAGCTAAGAAATGAATTCGTTTTTTCTGTAGTGATTTGAAAAGGAGTATGTTTTGATTGTCTCCATAATCTTTCATTTGTTATTAGTCTGGGGTAGAAAACGCCGTTAATTATCCTTTAACACTTGTTGACAAACGTCTGACATTTATTATTTTACAATCGAATGGAATTCCAATGATGTTGTTCCTTTTATAGATCTCCTCCAAACCAATCCTGATATTTAGATCCCCCATCAAAATTATGTTATATCTTCTAGGTAAAGCATTAATTATATTCTTCAGATCGTCAAAAAAGAGTAATCTATCTCTCCTATTTGGAGGTGCGTAAATATTTACCAGTATTGTTGGCCTAAAATTTGTGTTATGTATAATAGCCCACATCTCTCTGAGATAGGAAATTTATTTATGTGGCTGTATATTTTCTTGTTTATCAAAAACCCAACGCCTGACCAACTATTTGAAGTAGTGCCAGAGCAGTATTAAATAAAGTGATTAAAAGTTGCAATGACGTCCCAGGGTCTGGGTCTCCTGTTGAGCAATTATATCAATTTTCTCGTCTGTCATTAGTCTAAGTTAAATGGCGAGTTTATTCCATAGGCCATTGATATTTAGGGAAGAAATAAATAGTTGTCCCTTGAGTTTGTGCATGAGCTTCACTTAATTGTGCTAGCTAGAAATTAAGGAGATTCTATGAAAATACAGGTGATGTTAAAATAGATTTTATTTAGTTTAATGTAAAAATTTGGAAATTTATAGAGAAATGAATTACATTAAAAGGAAAGCAAAAGTAATAATATATTAACCTCTATTCCGATGTGTTTTCTAGGATCAGGGTGAATATTTTATAGGGAATATAATTATCTAGAAGCATAGGATAGCTATACTTCAAGCTTAGAGAACATTGGGTCACATAGAAAAGCACCAATAAATAAAAGTAAAAATAAAAGGGAGTCGTCATATAGAACTAATAACAATTGAAAAACCAATAGATTCTGAGAAGACTGAGACTTTTAGAAAAAAATCAAGAGGACCAAACAGGGGAGAAAATACGAGGAATTACATTAAAAGGAAAGCAATAGTAATAATATATTAACCTCTACATAAAAAATATATTAACATTGACTTAATATTTTTCATTAGCTTTAAAATGTTGTTTGCCTTAATACCTTTATTTAATTTATTGGTTTTGATCTACAGAAAACAAGTATTCTACATATAACAAGTATATTTTGTTAATTTTAATACTTTTTATTAGTTTTTTAAAGTGTTTTAAATTTCTTATAATATGAATATTTTGTTATTATACATTATTACATAAATTACGTAGTAGTCCTTTTCCTAATATATTCATTAGTCTTCTACATATAACAAGTATATCTATATTATAATTTTCCAATGTCCTCACTACGTCATCGTGATGTCATGTCATCGCTACGTCATGTCATCGGTACGTATTTATTTTAATTTTTTTATTTGTTTATTTAAATTATTCAAACAGATGACTGGAATTGATGGTGTACAAATACTTAACATGGATGAAAAACAATATTCCCTCAAATTTGTAAATATGAATGTTTTTATTTCACTTATTCCTTTCTTTATTTTTTAGATTACCTTATCAATTTTCATCTCATATTATCAATTATACATTAATGAAATCTTTTTATACTCATATTTTTCTTTCATAACCAATAATTAAGAAGATAACCAAGTATATTCAAATATTAATATTCTTATCCTAACCTATTTATACTTAATAACATTACATTCATCATATTATTAACTTTTAGAATATCATAATAGGCTTGATAAGTCCCCCAAAAATTTTTTCCTGATAATAGCCAAACCTTATCAATTCCTTTAATTTAATTTTTATTATTTTTATAATATAATAATTTATACCTTCTTTTTTCGCCCCTTTTTTATCTAATTTTTTAATTATCTTACAATTAATTAACCTTAATCCCAAAAAAATTTTATGATGATAGCCCTCCAACTAATAGAAATATGCTAATTTTGACCCATCTACCGGTTTTACATTATTTTAATGTTTGTTTAATTTCAACAATAGTTTATTTATATTTTTGCCTGATTTCTAATAGGCTTGATAATTCCCCCAAAAATTTTTCCTGATGATAGCCTAACCTTATCAATTCCTTTAATTTAATTTTTATTATTTTAATAATATAATAATTTATACCTTCTTTTTTCTCCCCTATTTTAATCTTATTTTTTAATTACCTTACAATTAATTAACCTTATTCTTAATAACACTGAATTCATCATGTTATTTTTTAACTTTTAGAATATCATAATAGGCTTGATAAGTCCCCCCAAAATTTTTTTTGGTGATAGACCTCCAACTATTAGAAATATGCATCTAATTTTGACCCATCTACCGGTTTTACATTATTTTAATGTTTGTTTAATTTCAACAATAGTTTATTTATATCACATGGACAGCTATATGTGGCTATGTCTCGAGTTTGTTCTCCTCATAAATTAACCTGTTTATACGAATAAGAATGAACATTACTTAGTATGATATTATTTTATAATTTAAACAATTTAATATTATTTAAGCATCTTTTGTCGGGCCGCTCAATATGCCCTTTTATCTCTGATGAATATTTTGTCTAATTGAAAATTATACAAAGTACATTTTTAAAATTTAACTAAATTAATATAACAATTTTTAAGGATCCTACTTTTTTAAAAGCTTACCATTTTGTCTGATCCACCATTGCTCTATTATCCCTGTGAACCCTGTTTTTTCACATGGACAGCTATATGTGGCTATATCTCGAGTTTGTTCTCCTCATAAATTAAGATTATAACCAATGATAAAACAAGAACTACAACCAATGTGGTATATCATGAGGTTATATCCGATTAATCCCGGTTTATACGAATAAGAATGAACATTACTTAGTATGATATTATTTTATAATTTAAACAATTTTATATTATTTAAGCATCCTTTTGTCGGGCCGCTCAATATGCCCTTTTATCTCTGATAAATATTTTTTTTAAATTATACAAAGTACATTTTTAAAATTTAACTAAATTAATATAACAATTTTTAAGGATCCTACTTTTTTAAAAGCTTACCATTTTGTCTGATCCATCATTGCTCTATTATCCCTGTGAACCCTGTTTTTTCACATGGACAGCTATATGTGGCTATGTCTCGAGTTTGTTCTCCTCATAAATTAAAGATTATAACCAATGATAAAACAAAAACTACAACCAATATGGTATATCATGAGGTTATATCCGATTAATCCCGGTTTATACGAATAAGATTGAACATTATTTAGTATGATATTATTTTATAATTTAAACAATTTTATATTATTTAAGCATCTTTTATCGGGCCGCTCAATATGCCCTTTTATCTCTGATGAATATTTTGTCTAATTGAAAATTATACAAAGTACATTTTTAAAATTTAACTAAATTAATATAACAATTTTTAAGGATCCTACTTTTTTAAAAGCTTACCATTTTGTCTGATCCACCATTGCTCTATTATCCCTGTGAACCCTGTTTTTTCACATGGACAGCTATATGTGGCTATATCTCGAGTTTGTTCTCCTCATAAATTAAGATTATAACCAATGATAAAACAAGAACTACAACCAATGTGGTATATCATGAGGTTATATCCGATTAATCCCGGTTTATACGAATAAGAATGAAAATTATTTAGTATGATATTATTTTATAATTTAAACAATTTTATATTATTTAAGCATCCTTTTGTCAGGCTGCACAATATGCCCTTTTATCTCTGATGAATATTTTGCCTAATTGAAAATTATACAAAGTACATTTTTAAAATTTAACTAAATTAATATAACAATTTTTAAGGATCCTACTTTTT